TCTCTTACATCAAAGAGTTATCCACCAAAACTCCAGGGTTGACAGTAAGATATGGTTGCTGAAAGAAATAATAAATTCCACTTTGACATTGCTAGATTATTAATGTTCACAATTGTTTCTTTAGTACATTTAGGGAGAAATTGTCCTGAGAGTTGCATGTCTCATGAATAAAATGTCTCAAGGAATGCCTAAGTTTCAACCCCTGTTCAAACCTCTAATTATTCATTTTTCAGGGCCAAAATAATTTGTTTTGTTCCCCCAAATATCTTTGAATATTTGTTCTTCGTTTGCATGAACTTTTATCATCAAAGCAAATTCGGCTGTAAATATATCGAGGGCATTAATGGATGCTCGAAAATAAAAAGTATAAATGCCATTCTTCAATCAATAGAAAAATTTATGGTTTCATTGACACAAGATTCTCTTAAAAAACAACCTTAGTACTAATCCAAAATTGCCTTAAGAGGTGACATAATGAATTGAACATTCAATATATGATTTTATAAGTTAAAGAGTGCTTTCACCTAGTACTGCTTTTGAAAAAATATTGATTTCAGATACTGTTCATGAAGTACTTAAAAAACTGATACTGGTGTTAACTCAAATCATAATAGAAATGTAAATATTTTTGATGAAATGTAAAAGGGGATTACAATTAGGTTCTTCAATCAGAAATAAAACAACACAAACACAAAAAAAGACCCCTCTAGGATGAGGTTGACACTGGTGAACACCGAATCGACAACAAGTAGGATGGTTGGCTGGAACTTGTGGCAGCAGCAAGAGGTGCTGAAGGGAGTTACAACAACAACACATGGGTGCTGGAGAGGAGGACGGTAGCAGGTGTGGGGCTGGAGAGGGTTATGATAGTAGCAACAAAGAAGGGAAAGGGATCACTGCAGCAACTAGATATGTTTGAGTGCTTTACAGTGACAGCAGGAGGTTGGAGTGGGACGGTGGCAGCAGGATGACACATTGAAAGGGGTTGGGGTGGCAGTGGGAAGGGATCTTTGTGTTGGTGGCAGGAAATCAGCGAAGAGGAGGGTGTAGGTTTGATGATATCGAGTTAGTAAAAGGATGGATACACACCACCTCGGGAGGAGTTACAACCAAAGTACCTCTTGCTGTCAGATACAATCTGAAAAGGGAAAACGAGATGCTGACAATTATTCTGATAGAAATCTCATGCAAAAATTATCCCCAAACAAAGAAAAGAGCATATTTATAATAACTCATA